GGCCCCTTAAAGTCCACTGAAATTCGCTCAAATGGTGTAGTAGCCTTTATTAAAGTCCCCGAAGATTTTATGAATCTAGGTTTAATTTCAGCACATACGGGACATAATGTATTTATGCGTTTGATTTCTTCAACAGAAAAGGGCAAATTTTTAGTTCTTACCCAATGTACCATCCCTGTAATACCCGGGTGACAAAGACTGTTATGTAAATCCATTAATGAATTTCTCGATGTCGAAGCTATGACAGTATTTGCTCGTGACAATGCGTCGGCCACGACATTTTCTCTTCCCGGTCGATATATGATGTCAAAGTTGTAACTACTTAATTCAAGACGCCAGCGTTGTATCTTCTCATTTTTGATCTTTGATGTATGTTGGTGGTTAAACATGAATGATATAGAACGTTGATCTGTAATCAGTTTGAATGTTCGTCCTATTAGTAATTGTCTCCATTTTCTAACTTCAAACTTTCTACAATTCCTGAAGCCTCCTTTTCAATAGCTGGGTGACCCTTTTCGGTAGCAGAAAGTGTTCTTGAAAAGAAAGCTACTGGCCGACCTTCTTGAGATAACGTAGCTGCAATAGCGTAATCTGAAGCGTCAGTTTCTACAGTCATTTGTATGCCGCTTTCAATAGCAGCTACTGTAGATTTAGCTATCTCTATTTTAAGATCTTCAAATGCTTTTATTGCGTCCTCCGTAAGTGGAAATGTATTATGGTTGACAAATGGTTGTATTTTGTATGAGAATTTAGGAATCCATTTAGCATAGTGCTCGTCGCAAAGAAACAGAATCAGTAGGAATTGGTAGTTTTAGGAGAGGGCGTAAACGTTCCGGATCAGGTTTAATCACTCCGTTACATATGTTGTATCCCAAAAGATTTATAGTAGTCTTTGAAAATTCACTTTTTGTCACGTTTAATGTAAGATTATATTTTGTAGAAATCTCTTCAAATTTTTTAAGTTTTCATCGTGATCAGCCTGATTTATCCCACAGATTGTGATATCATCGAGATAAGCATGAACTCCTTTTAATTGCTCTTATTTTATGATATTATAAATTGAACGTTGAAATGCGGCCACTCCATTGGTGACACCAAACGGAATTCGTCGAAACTGATATAAATTTCTTCCTGCTTCGAAGGCAGTATATGATTTTTCGCTTTCCAATATAGGTACTTGATGATACGCGCTTTTAAGGTCTATTTTACTGAATATTTTATGTTTAGATACCTTGCTATAACATCTTCAATAGAAGGGAGTGGATATGCATCTAATAAAGTAAATCTATTCATTGTTTGTGAATAATCTATAACCATACCTTTTTTATGGTGTTCACTACTAGTAACAAGGACTTGTGCTCGCCATGGAGACTGTCTAGGTTCAATTATTTTATCTTTTAATAACTTTTGTATCTCTTCGTCTATAAATTTTTGATCCATCTCTGACTGTCTCCTAGATCGAATCGCAATTGGTTTCTCGAAAGGTAGTAAATTACTGAATAAGCTAACAGGTTTTATTTTGGTACTCTTATAGTACATAATTGAAGTGAGGGTTTAAAACCACCAAATTGCATTTCTAATGATTTATGTTCACTTAACATATCATGACCGAGAATAACATCAGAACATAATCCTTCCATCACCATAAGATTGACTTCCACCTTTTGTTTTTGTATTTCTATAGTTAATGCACATCTGCTTTTTATATGTGATATAAGGTTTGACTTGGCCATTGTTATCTTTTGGTGATTTGGTGTTTCAATTAAATCATAGTGGTTAACCAGTCGTTTGTCAATAAAACTAGCCGTACTGCCTGTATCTATTACTGCTCTAGCCATAATTTTCTTATTGATAATTATAGGAGCAGTCGCTTTACTTAAATCTGCAGCAGATAGTATGCAGGAGAGAGTTTCAATTGACTGATTTTCGTTGGAGGTAGCTGCGTTGCGTTGAGATTTATTTCGAGAGACTAGCAAAATGACCCCTCTTACCTTCATGTGGTAAGAGGGGTCATTTTGAACACGTTGAACTGGCTGCTGGACAGAATCTTCGTGGATGTCTTTTTTCTCCACAAAAGTAACAAGACTCAAACGTATTTCTATAATTTGGTGTTGCAGCAACGGTGACATCAGTATTCTTATTGTCAGCAGACATAGAATCCTTTAAAACTGGAATATTAGAACAGTTATTTGTATTATTTATTACAGGATTAGTGTCACGTAGATAATTCTGATTATGAATTTCTGCTAACTCCAGTGATTGAGCTTGCTGGAAGGTCGTATCTAGGGTTAAAGTACTATTTTCTAACAGTCTAACAGTCTTTGACGTATTACAGGTGACACCAGTCCGCCTATGAAAGCGTCTCTTATGTATTCACTTTCATTCTGTTCTGCTGTAACTTTTTGAAAGTTACATTTTTTCGACAATAGTTTAAGAGCTTGTATATATTGATGAACTGACTCACCGGATTGCTGATATCGCTTCATAAGACGATGTCTTGAATAGATTTCGTTTACAGGTTTTGTAAATAATTGATTTAATTTAAGAATCGCTGTAGTGTAGTTGTTACATTCTTTGACATGTGCATAAAGAATCGGCGATAAGTAATTGACGAGTACTTGGTAATGCTGCTCTGGAGTAATAGGATTATCCTTAGTATTTATAGCACTAATAAAATTTTCAAAAGTTTGGTTCCAATGTATCCATAGCGGAGATTGATCAAGATTTGCTGACGGATCTGCATCGAATCTTTCGGGTCTTAGATACTTATCCATTATAGATTATAAGTAATTTTTAGTTTATTAAATTGATATGAATATAGTATTGAATTATTAATTAAAACTAGATTTACCCATTATTAGGATTTAATAAACTAAAAATTGTACACGACTATTTGACAGATAAAATGTAACTAAAATCTTCTTCTTATATTTAATGGCTTCACGACAGGTTACAATATAAATCATATTCGTGAACGAGTGCTGCTTGTGAGATACTGGTCTGCTCTAATTACTACTCTTATTAATTGTTTATAATGATATTGATTTCCTCTTATTAATTATTTAACCAGTTGGTTGTATATTCAATATTTTTTTTATTTGAATATTTAATTGAATTTGTGCTAATTGGTTGTTTGTATTCACACACTTAAACTTAAAAATGTAAAGTAAGAATAAAATTATTTAAAAGAGCAACACGCAAGTTTCATGCTCGTTCTTCTTGTGATGAGACTGCTTTCCGAATGAGCGGTAGATTAAAAAAAAATGTGTGACTATTCAAAAGTGCATCAATGTAAGTTTATTTGAACAAATGATTTTCTTTTCTATTCTACTACGACTGTTTTGATCCTATTGTGTACTTAATATCTGAAGATAATAAATTAGTGCTAGTTGGTCGTTTGTATTCGCACGTTTTGAATTGGAAATGAAAAGTTACAATGATTATTTAAAAGAGCAACACGCGAGTTTCTAGCTCGTTCTTCTTGTGGTGAGACAGCTTTCCGAATGAGCCGTTGTTAAAAAATGATAATTATGACTATTCAAAAGTGCTTAAATTAAGTTTATATGAATGAATTATTTTCTATTCTATTCTAAAGTTGGGAATAAATGTATATGGAAATTCATCATTCATTGTCTCATCCACACGGAAGTAGCGGTCAGAGCTAGTCATCATCATTACATAGTACAAAACAAAGTCGCTGTCGCTGTCTGTCCGTCCCTATGTATGCTTAAATCTTTAAAACTACGCAACGGATAGAGTGATTCAAGAGGAAGGTTTGTATATATAATACATGTACATCCGTGCAGAACCGGGGCGAGTAGCTAGTATAATATAAATAATAAATAGTCTGCTGGCTGTAGAATAGTGACAGGCAGCTATTTTTTATCTTTAATATATAGATTTAAATATAATAATAATAACTATAGTAATCTCGGGACAATTCACTCGGCGCACATATTATACATAGAGGGCACCCAGATCGATACAAACAATCATATTCATGAATACATATACATACAATACAAATGTTTGTGGCGTGCGAGGAATCGAACCTGCGACCATTGGAAGTAAGGCGGCCGCGGCGCGCGCCGGCGTGTTGACTCGCTAGACCACCAAGGTCGTCATACATTATTAACAAATCCATCCTCTCGGACTAAGATGTCATGCCTCCTGTAATTTCAGTGCGAAGCACCTTACAAAGCAAGCTGATTGGCGCTTGAAATAGGTGAAATTGTCGCAGACGACTTTTTACTGTCTACCACTAAAAGGAGCTATAATTAACATTACCACCTATCGAAGGTCAATAAGTTAATTTATTAAATTTATAATTACTCCGTGAGTTTGCGATTTTTACGATTGGAATATTTTTCCTTGTTTCTTTGTTTCTTGAACGGGTGCTGTTTGTAGAGACTACTCTAATCATATTGATTTACCAGTGGTAGACTGTAAACGATGTGCTAACTGACCTGACCTCATACTCTTCTTATCATCCTCCACTGGTGCCCCACCAGCGTAAACCGTTAGCGCAGGCGGGTGCACCATTCCATTATATTCGTACAAAAACTTAAATGACGCCTCAGTAGTCCAACGGTATAGCAATAGTACATTTTATATACTTCCGATGGTTGCGGGTTCGATTCCTCGCACAGTGCAAACATTCGTTTTCATGTTTTGTGTGTATATTACATAAGTATTAACAAAAAAAGATAGTTTCGGTAACAGGTGTCTAGTACCCATAATACAAGCTCTGCTTAGCATGGGATTAGGTGGCGCTCTGTGGGTTTTAAATTAAAAAACATTTAGACATTATAAACAATGACACTAATAAATACATATGTTGGCATTATACAAGGATTCAAGGCGACCTTTGGAAGTAAGACGTGAAGGTGTTTTAGACCGCTCACGACCGAGGCCATCAAGAAACAAGTAAAAAGCTTTTTAAACATGCTTTTTATAATACGATCAAATATTTTAAGCAGTCTTACATCTCTAATATACTTGTACTACCGCTACGTAAACATGTTAAAAAAAATCCATTCACCATTGTCAGGTTGACAGACACGAAGCTTTATTGTATTAGTAAGAATTCAGAAAATTACATATTTACCATGTCTACAAGTGTTCCTCTTGTTGTGAGGCTGTTGTCTTCATCAGTTTCAGTAGCTAACAGAGCTGGTAAAATAGTACGAGATGTCATGAGTAAAGGAGAATTAGGGATCATCGAAAAGGTTAAAAAGTTTTCTTTTATTTTTTTAAAACATATTTCATAATATGGAAGTCTTATCGAATATGTAATTCTAGGGCAAAGATGATTATCAAACAGAGGCAGATAGATCTGCTCAAAGATGTATTATTGCGTCACTATCTGCACAATATCCAAAGCTGAACATAATTGGGGAAGAAGATAGTCCAGATAACGAGGTACAAGTATTGTTTTCTATTTAGTTTAAGTTTCTTAGGATTTTAATTCACAGTTCAAATGTAAATATTTTACAATTTAATGTTTAATAGGTCTAAGTATTCATATATCAATGTCTATATGAATATATTTTTATGAATCACTATTTACTATATTAAAAATATAAAATTTATGAATTATTAATAATTTTAGGGAGAAGTTCCAAGTGATTGGATTGTTCTCGATTCTGATAAGGATATACTGTCGCTGGAGTGCCCCGCTGCCCTGAAAAGTGTGAAGGAGGAAGACATTGTTGTATGGGTAGACCCTCTTGATGGAACATCGGAGTACACTCAAGGTTACTTTAATTTATTTAAACTTTTATGCACAAATACAATATTTAAATTTACATATAGCAAACTTAACACCTAAGGGCATTCTATACCAGATAAACATAAGGTACTGAGAAATTAGTTATGAAGTTTATCTCCTATGGGGCCATTCAAATATTACGTAAGCAGATTTATTACAATTATTTACACCCCAATCCCCGTTGTCAGCAAAGTAAGCTAAGCTCTTACCCCCTCCCCCTATGCTTACGTAAACATTTTTCAATTAATGTATTGTTTTTTAGCAAAGACGATGTGAGGGTTGACATTTGCGTAAAAAAGTAAATAATTACCGATGACGTAATCATCATCTAGACTCCCCCCCCCATGTCATCCAAAATAAGCAAAGCAAAGACCCCCCCTCCCCCAAATAGTGCTTACGTAATACTTGAACGGCCCCTATGGGAATTTCAGGAAATAATTTGTTATAGTATCTTACTTTATAGTTATTCAAAATTTTAGCCATAATTGTATAAAGTCTATTAATCAATCTCAGTGAGTCAGGATATGTATATACAGAACTTTGATTGCTATAATTAATATGTATGTGACAACAATAGTAATTAATATTTACAATATTATAAATATATTTCTAGTTCTTCCATTGTAAGGGAAAGTAAATTCTAATTCTCCATTTATTCTAAAGAATTTTTACTGATTATATGTATGGTTCACAGTATCATTATTAGTTTTTTCAAATATCTGTTATCCAAAATTCTAGGTGCCCTAATGTTGAAGAGAGATCCTTGGGAAAGATGGAAAATGTATTTAACTCATCCATTTATTAGTATGAAGTGGTATTTTAGCTTGCTACAATCAAAATATGGTAAATTAATTTTACATTTCCACAAGTAAAATGGGATTTCTGTGGTTTAGAATATTAATGAAGATTTGGTAATCGAAAAAGGACTTTAAAATGGATATGATTGTAATAATAATTATATTAAATTTCAATGCAGGTTAGGATTTTGACTTATAATCTTAATATTCAATTTGTTATTTAACTGACAGCTAAATTCAGTTATAGTTATAGCTGCATTAATTTATTTTTTAATAATTTAATAAGGAATATGAATTTATTGATGACAGAGTAACTCATTGCCTTTCTCGATAACCTTGACTAACATGTATGTTGTATCATGATACTAAATAAACTCATTCTTACTTATCCTATAATAAAACTGTTCTCACAAACAAATCTGATGTAGTTAGTAGTAAATGACCATTTCTTGCATGTTGCATGTTGCACATATTCCTTTTGTTAATTGAATACATAATTGGAAATTGTTACAGGGTTCCTTGAACATGTCACCGTATTAATTGGAATATCAGTCAATGAAAAACCTGTGGCGGGGGTTATACATCAACCATATTACAAGAACTTAATTGGTGAAAAAAAAATAGGCAGAACTATTTGGGGATTGCAAGAGGTGGGTGTTGGTGGTTACACTCCAGCTCCACCTCCGGATTCTTTGGTAATTACCACTACCAGAAGTCATTCTAATCCAGTAGTAGAACAAGCACTGGCTGTTATGAATGCATCTCAAATTCTTCGAGTAGGAGGAGCTGGATACAAAGTAAGTTGTGAATATTAAGTTTGCAAATTTATAATAATAAATAAATATGCTCACAACTGTTATGTTAGAGATATTGTCCACTGTCAATATTCTCAAAAAGAAAGTATTTATCTTATATATGCCTAGATCAAACAGCACTCAATGCATCAGCTTACTGGTGACAGATTTAAAAAAAGAAAAATGATGTTCCTAAATTATGTTTAACATTACTAAACTTGATATGACAAGGAGAAACATATCAACTGTCTCTCTCTCTCTCTCCACCTTCACTTTCTATCAGTAGTGTAATTAAGAATGTAATTGCTATTTAAAACATTATTTATCATTGTTACTGTAATAGCATGTTTTTAATACTTACTGTGTGCTCGTTTCTATAAACTGAATGTATTATTATAAATTTATTCTGAAAATATACAGCTAAAACGTGAAAATTTTAACTTCCTTCTAGGTACTACAATTGTTAGAAGGTAAAGCGTCTGTGTATGTATTTGCGAGTAGTGGATGCAAAAAATGGGACACTTGTGCGCCCGAGGCAATATTGAACGCAGCGGGTGGCAAATTAACAGATGTCCTTGGTAATTTTTACAAATATGGTGCTTCAGAACCTCATCCAAATAAAACTGGTGTTCTCGCCGCTATTAATGACGAGCTACACAGTTATGCAGTTAACAAAATACCACAAGAGCTTAAAGAGACACTTTCAAAAAAATAGATCTCGATATAGATATGATATGTATGAAGTATTTGCTATCAATACAATAAAATTGTTTACAGGTAAAATAATACTACAAGTATTAGAATGAAACTATATTTTTTTATAAATAAAGCATTATAAATAAAAAATTGTAAAATTTCATTTATATACAAAATTAACCCCACTGTTAAAGCTTACTCTTTGGAGTTGGTAGCATTTTTTTCAACTCTCTTCTTAGTATTTTGCCAGACTGGTTCTTGGGTATTTCATCAACAAAAAGAACGCCACCTCGTAATTGTTTCGCCGAAGATACCTATGAACAAAGTAATATTATACATTTAAATTTATACTGAATAAAAAGAATTTTTTTTTTGTTTCTACAAGAAAGCTTTTGCTCTTCAATATATAGCAAGTTTAATTTTCTGTGAATACAAAATTCTAATTCAAAAATCATTTATTCATGTAGGTATCATTTTTTTTTTCATTTTATTCATTTTACCCTACCAATTTGGTATATAGTTCCAATTGAGAAGAACTGCCAAGAAACTCAATTGAATTACTTTTTTTTTTAAAGCCAGTTTATTTATAATGCATAGATATTTATATAGGTGTCTATGTCTAATATTAAATGAAAATCCTGTACATGAAAACTATTGCCATGCACACTCGACATTCTAGTAATCGTTTAGTGAGTAATAGGCCTTTGCTCAGAAAATATGATTTAACAGATGTTTTGAATTTATTTAAGGGTAATTCCAATACATCCTTTGGTAATTACAAACTACCAAATAGTACAATTACGATTTAAAGCTAAAATACTAAACATTAAAATACTTTATGTATTTTAGTCAGTCTGCAATTTTAAATAAATATTTAATCATTTGCAACCTTTATATTGTTAGATCATCATCAATCACCTATCTGGATATTTTATTAACGAGCATGACATTCTGAACACTCTTCGCCCTTCACTATGGCATGACATTATATAATAAAAGTATTAATGACGTTTGCGGCGGTCCAGATTATATATGAGAAGAAAGTACACGAACACAGTGAATGTTCGGCAGGAAAATAGAAGTCTATAGTATAATATTTTTATAATACTGAATGCAAACCTTTGAAGCGATGTATTTGACGAGTTCTTGCTCCGAAACATTAGAGCCTGGCTGGCGCACTATAAAGGCGAGAGGCAGTTCACCAGCATATTCGTCAGGCTTACCTACCACTCCACACTCCGCTACGCCTTCATGTTGCAGTAATAATGCTTCTATTTCAGCCGGCGCCACCTAAAATTGAATAAGTACTGTGTAAGCAGTGGAAATATTATCCTATTCTTACATACACATTTTCCTTTAAGATATTATATTCAGAAAACGGTGGGCTCCGTTTTATGCTAATCAGGTTATCATTATTTTTCTAAAATAATCCAGGAAGTATTCATTGTATTTTATAACTGTATGACACTGTAGTAGTATCTATAGTCTTATCGTATTTTTATTCGGGTACATCACTGATAAACCCCTCTCGGCGCTGCTATTCATAGCTACTTCCAAAAACATTTATCAATATTTTAGATATCCTTCAAATATCCAATGTTCATAATCCATGTTTGTAAAGGTGTTCTTTTAAATGGCAGGACTAGTATAAAAGAAATTTTAACTTCATATTTGCTTTGTCAACCTGATTTTACTCAACAAACAAAAATATATATGTTTGAGTAGTAGTAAAGTAGTATAAATTAAATTAGTAAGACTATATAGTTGGTATAGTGCTAGTAATATTAATACTTTGTATATAACAAAGTATTGCTGTTACCTCACCTGAAATCCCTTATATTTAATAAGTTCTTTAAGTCTGTCTACTATGTAAAAGAACCCATCTTTATCATAATATCCAATGTCACCAGTCCGTACATAACCTTCGCTGTCAAATAGTGCATCGCTCGCCGCTTTGTCACCCATATATCCTTTCATAGTCAATGATGACTTGATCCATAATTCCCCTTCCTTTCCAACACCTAATCTTTGTCCGTTTTCTATGTCGATTACCTGTTAACATAATATAATAGTGAACTTAAAATCAACACCACATCTGACCTGTTATATTGCTAATAATAAATGTATATTCAGTGAGAATTTTATCTGTGCACACAATACTCATACAACTCAAATTATTATTTATCTAAAAAAATATTCATGTTTATAAATCTTCTGTATTAATATATTATTTTTATTAAATATAGATAATATGAACTAGAGTATTCTACGCCATATTATAGTCTATTTATTTTATACAAAGGACTTCATATGATATCAACTTTTTGCCATCACAAACAAATGATGTGATATACTAATAACCTATATACATATATAGGTATACGTGTGATATTGTTTTTGCTACGTATGAAGCAAAAATAATACATTAGATCTTTATTTCCCCATATATATTTTTCGGCTGGTTGATATACATATTATAATATATATATAATAAATATTGTTTATTTTTACCCCATTAGGAAGATGGACGTCGTATATATAATTTATAATAAATAAGCCTTTACAAGTGTACAATATCATCCAGTCATACAGTAAGCAGAGCTTATATTATGGTTAGTATTAAATTATTATAAATACACACATAGTTATTTTAAAAAATCACAGACAGATATGCGTTAGCTTGCAAAAGTTGCAAATGTATGTATTGTGCGCATATCGAACGCCATAACCGACCACCGAAATGGTCATTTGTAGATAAAGTCGCACATACAACAGATAGCCACACATGCAAACAATATTTACTTTTATTTTCATGCCAGGAGCCGGTGTTCCACAGGAGCCTATTTTTTGGCCACCAGTTAAATCGACGCAACATGCCATGGTTACTTCAGTTAAACCGTAACCCTGTTTAATATAGTTTAAGCCAGTCCTGTAAATTGCGTTAAATACAATAAGTAAGCATGCATATTATAAATTCGTGTAAATAGATAACAGCAGAAATTATGCATAAATATAACAACAATATAATTATTAGGTGTGATTTTGAATATTTACATGTTTTGCTAGATTCACACCAACATATATATATAGCTTATTTCACAAAAAAAAACTGTTGGACACTGTATTGTCCTAGTAACATAATATTATGTATACCAACCTATAGTAGGCACGCATCTTCGTTTGCAATAACAATAATGTTAACTGTCATGTTTTTGAACCAATGGTAACGAAATAAATACTGTAAACCGCACTTGAGTTTGTACGTTCATTCACGTCAACAAGAATTTCAAAAACTATTGACTGCATTAATTGGTTTAAAAAGTTTCTTATATTACCTAGGCAGTCAACCCGTTCCACCATTTCAGATAAATATTATTTATAATATACTAACACAACTACCAGACCCGGCCACACGTTGCTGTGGCTAAGGTTCTTGAATAAAATAATATTGAGACTAAAAATTGAGATGTAAGCTAACCTATCTTTCAAGTTGGATCAAATTGCACACAATGTGCAAATCAAATTTGAAATCGGTTCAGTAGTTTAAGAATCCATCGTGGACAAACTACGTGACACGTAATTCTTATCTATCGTATAAAGATATACTATTATATATTCTAATATAAGACAGTCAATATTAATGTTTCTCCAATCGGCTCAATCTTGTTACTAAATCAAAACATCCAGACATCGGTTCCGTAAGCAGATATTTAGTGTTTTATTCAGCGTCATTGAATGTGGCTTTGAAGTACGCACTTTCATATATTGAGCGAAGGATAAAAGCAGTACTATTTAAAAGCGGCAATCGTCGCATATTATTTATAATATATGTATTACATTAATAACATAATTGAAATAGTGTTCATTCTAAAATACCACATATGTACTGAAAAATAAGACATCGCCAGTTAAGAGGATGAACTGCTGATGTATACAGTCTCGTTTATTTCGAACCTTTTTATAAGTGAATAGGTACGGTTGAAATTTGAACTCTAATTGAACTGTATAGGTGAAGCCCGGGCATAGCGAATAACCCAGGTAAAGCAAATAAGTGATGTTTCTGAAAAACATTAAGATATGGTGTTACAAGTGGCGACTACATAGATAAGTACGCCCTGACTACGCCATGACAGTTGATTCAAAACAACTGGTGCTATTCGTTTCTTCTAGTGACAAAAATATTGTATTGAGTGTTTTTCTTACGATTTTCGATCAGGTTTGTTCTCATTTCATTTGTTTTTACTGTTAGCTAACCCAGGAATGATTCAGTTTTGCAGATTAACAATGTTTTTAGTATTATTTGTGATATTAATATTATATTGAGCCTGTATTGAAATATTAAGAAAAGTAGGTATGCTTACGCTATACACGTTTTGGGCAAAGCGGATAAGTTATCCGCTTTAACCCTTGTAATAAAAAGGTAATATTTCATAGTTTGCTACAAAATTTTATGCCAGCCATAGCAGTCATACTAATATGCCTTCATTCTGTACACCAGGTCCTTCTTCTATGACAGAACATACCTGCCAAGTACTATCGACCTCTATACAGTCTAACGTATAAGAGATGAGTAATTTATCTTCAGCAACAGTTACCATTTCGCTATACGCAATATGGCCAATACCAACTATGACTGCTTCAAAAACTAATAAGAAACGCAGATGCCAAACGTCAATGGTATTAACTTCTATACCTGTTAAAAACGAACAAGCCATAAAATACAAAAAAAATGATAATAAAACTAAAATCTTAGATTTAGATGTCAAGAAAAAGAGAAAAGGAAAGGAAAATATGACGAGAGGAAAAACAAAAAAAAACATAATATTAGGAAAAAAGTAAAAGAAATGTATTCATGCCTGATCTGCATCGAAGAGTATATGGATCCACCTATAGAAGACTGGATCCAATGCTCAGACTGCCACTGTTGAGCACATGGAATCTGTACATTGTATAATGGACTTGGCAGTTATTTCTGCGACGACTGTCAGGAGTAACAGCCTAATCCACTTCACCCAACTAGCTTATTCACTTTACCCGCCCGGTCGGGTAAAACGGATAATGGAAGAGGTTTTTAATTAATTAATTTTTTATATGAAGATATTATATTTTGTTAATATTGCATGTTACATTTGCAAAGGTGATTATATTTGCCATAAATAAAAAATAAACAATGTTCCTAAGTTGATTATTCCTGTGTTATTTTTTTGCTTTTTCTTAACTTATACTATTCTTAGCTGCCCGGGCTTCCCCTACTAAATTTAACCTTACAGCTAAATTATTATTACACATATAGTTCTGTATGCTTTTCATACTTTTCATTTTCTTGCTGAAGACCGATGGAATTGAACATTCAAGCGTCAACAATCATCTAAATAAAAAAAAAAATTTTCAAGGTACTGTTCTGTACAAACAGATAATTATATATGTGGGACGTAATTATAATATCACGTGTGTATAATTACTATGTCCAACTATCTATCCTAAATACAAACAAATTATTAACTAGTTTGTCAGTACTACATCATCAAACTCTATATATTTGATTTACCTAAGACTCGGTAAAAAATGAAAAGTCTAGAGTGCCGATTAGAGGGGCGATAGGGGCGATTTAGGCCCCCTGGGTTGTTTACTTGGTCTCATTATCAATAATTGCTTTAAATATAATCTGTATCTTATCAAGTTTAATCCTATTTGACACTATGATTATTTTTGGCACATTTGATTTACTTTACAAATTAAATTCAAGTCCATAATCCTTTACCGTTTGCTATTGCAGTTTTATAGTTAACATTTATTTACTAACATCAGTACCTTTCAGTGATAGCTCTTTGTATGTCCCTTGACAATGGCGCAGCTCCGCACCAAACCTCGTTGAGCGATGACAAGTCATATTTTGTTACAAGCGGGTGCTTCGCCAGGAACACAGCCAGGGGTGGTACAATCGTGGTTTCGTTTATCTAATAATTTATAACAATTCAGTGCAATTTGAATACAAATAAAATGGAAATCAGTATACTGTTGCTTAAAAGCGAATCGTGAAAGTAGCTTTAGAAAATTTATTGTATTTACATAAAACAGTTTGAAGATAAAAACCTAAAGAACATTATTTATATATTCATTCTTGATTTACAATGAGATTTTGACGGCTTTTATGTCGTTACATTATGCGGATAATATAATTATTCTCTAAAAAAAATAAAATGAGTTGCAATTATTTTATTGTAATCAATATACATATATGGTTTATTCCTATTTTAATACCATGCCAATTTTATCAATGGGTGATAGAATTTTGTGGAACTAAAAGGACTCGCAACCATTTTGTTAATAGTGATAATTTGTTGCATGTAATGAAAATTTTCTACAATAAATAGAGTGTTGAAGTAGAAAAATTTAATGAATATATAATACCTTATAATTTTGGATTGTCTCCAGAAATTGTTTCGGCTCAAATTGTATCAAAAACACAAGTTTGATACGCATAGCAATAGTCGCCATGGTCGTGATAAAACCGTATGCATGGAACCACGGGATTAGTGACAGTGCATTTTCTACCTCATGTTTTCCTCTCAGTTTGGACATTTCATAATAGTACCTGTAAATTAAAATTAAAACATTAAGTCTAAATAAATTGGAGCATTAATTATATTGATATAAATATAATTATTGTCGTGTCATTCTCAAACTTTCAAGACGGTTAAGTTAATTGTATTATGAACGGTAGTGAAAGTCGGTTACGGTTTCGAGAATGAGTTCAGGACAAGCGCCCTCGAAAACGTGTAAAAAAATCTGTTATTTTCACCTGGTTCAAAATATAAATACTAACTATAAAATCTTAGTTAAACCTATATATTATAAATATAGATAAAAAATAGTCCGGTATCTGTAGCGTGGTGATTTATACGTCAGCTAATATAAGGAACATGTAAAAAACTGTGATTTGCTTTCACTACAAAATTTGTCAGTTGTTAGTTTATATGGTATTTGGAATAAATAAAATCGGCTGAATGCGGTGGAAAACCCGTCTGCTAAAGATATTTAATAGAATAAAATAGTGAACACTTATCCTTTGATAATAGTAAACCTTATACAACATATCTTTAAAGTCCATTTCAGTTCTTGTGCAGTAAATTTATAATATGCTATTATTTTGTTTTTGCTCATGACTTTCTATCGAATACTGGAAAACTGCACCATCGAAAACTATCGAAGTCCTGGAGAACGCAACAGCGTAGAAGGTAGAAATGTTACAGATATAATGGGATATAACTCGACAGGTGGCGAGCTTACCTCCGTATCGCGAATTAATTTGGTATGATATCGGTGTTTCCATCACTGGAGAAATATACCTTGCATAGAAAGTAGTTTCTTACTGTGCTTAACAGATTAGAACTAGCCACGATGCTTTATTTAGAATTGGCCACGAAGCTTTATTAGTAGTAGCACAGATAACATAATATTACATACAGATACCCCATCCCATACAAGAAAATGGTTCCTTCCTAACTCGGGCTATTCTTCGGGCTATTTTATTTCGCCGCCGTAGCCGCTAGATGTCTCTAGATCTGAAGCAGTTCGGATTACTAGTGGGTGCTTAGTAACAAAGCACGAAAATAGATGGCAGTCAATTCAGTCTACATGACATCTGTTTTGCAAAGATAGGTATATACAAGATATGTTAACTGTATCGTGTACCTCATTAGGGACGATTCAAGATTCAATGTAAATGTGTAGGTATAATATCGTTAGCCGATACCCTGCAGATATGGCTTATGTGCCAAAATTCCATGCCTATTTTTTTCTCTCGACGAAGATATGTTGTAACGCGTCTGCGCTATACGTATAGCCCGATTTTGATACGTTTATACTCGTACGTATCAAAATCGGGCTATATGATTTTTTATTTCAATCGTTATGTGTAAGAGACTGGTTTTAGCTACAATGAATTTACTGGTATATACCTCATGTATTCTACGATGTACCCCTCTTTTCCCTAATGAGAATTCCGCTATATCTTATATATAAACTTCGTATCACAGTGTTAGTTGCCATATTTCTCCCACATTTTGATGAAATTTGATATGTATACTTGCTAGGTCTGAGGTAGGGTTGTTATCTATTTTTTATACCCCTAAGTCATAGGGGTGGCCTACCCTGAATTTTTTTTTTTTGTATTATGGACAATTTTTTATTTATTTATAATGTTACATACACGCCTAAATTTTGGCCCGTCTTTCACCAACCCCTATTTTTAATAGCGATATTCTTACAAATATTATAAATGCTAAAGTAACTCTGTCTGTTTGTCTCGCTTTCACGCCCATTACACGTTAGAAATGTGTAACGGGAGAACACGTTACTTAGTACGAAATTTTGTATATTACAATAAAACTTAACGAGAAAATATTATAATGATGTCACTGGAACACTCATTGCTTTACTACTATACCGTCCATTAGTCGCGAACTTTCTGGATGCGCGAGAGGCGCGCTCCTATTGGTCGGTCGGTGCGGTTACCGCACGACGCGCATGCGCTGTACGCTTAGATGAGTCTCACGGCACGGGCGTAAGTACTTACTATGTAATATGTATACATATGGGTGTCACAAATGTTTTTATTACAAGTAATATTACTCTATTATCTAAGCCAGTAATGTGTGCTTATTTTGAACTTGATAATATTCAGAATTACTTGTATACATAACTTTCGATATCTACAATAATAATATCTTTGATGTATGAAAGAAATGTATGTACCTACATTAAAAGATAATTTTTGACAAGTATGAAATGTATGAATGAAATGTATGTACCTACATTAAAAGATAATTTTTGACATGTATGAAATGTATGAAAGAAATGTATGAACCTACATTAAAATATAATTTTTGAAATGTATGAGATGTATGAAAGAAATGTATGTACCTACATAAAAAGTTCAGTTTTGAAATGTATGAGATGTATGAAAAAAATGTATGTACCTACATTAAAATATAATTTTTGAAATGTATGAGATGTATGAAAGAAATGTATGTACCTACATAAAAAGTTCATTTTTTAAATGTATGAAAGAAATGTATGTACCTACATTAAAAGATAATTTTTGACATGTATGAAATGTATGAAAGAAATGTATGTGCCTACATTAAAAGATAATTTTTGACACGTATGAAATGTATGTACCTACATTAAAAGATAATTTTTGACATGTATGAAATGTATGAAAGAAATGTATGTACCTACATTAAAATATAATTTTTGAAATGTATGCACCGTACAATAACAATACACGTTAAACATCATACCACAGAGTCATACGCAAGTTAAAAACAAACTGCTATGATATTAATGAGAAAGGAAAATCAACTTTATGGTATTCGAGTTAGGGTCGATTTCTCTCTTTTTTTTAAATACTATTTTAATCTTGCCAGTATTCAAAGACAACTACGATTTGTACTCGATATTTTAAATTATTATGTAATCGATTTTTCAGTACAAATGTAAATAACCAACGACACTAATAATGTACTACTATATTCCGTTCTTTGAAACGGAACACTGCTATAATACAAAATAATGAAAATTTACTGTTCACAACGATTCATTAAAAGCATCATCGAATAATGCGCTGTAATAAAATCCTGTTATCGATTATTCAAAAAAATCGATAATACATGTATTTATTTTTAATATGACAACACTTCATACATAAGTATTATTGGAAATAGTATTACTTGCTTGTTCGGCTATTTTTAATTTACTTAAAATTTTTTTATATGTTTAATTTACAATAATGATATATTAAGTGCTTATTATTGGAAAATATAAAAAAGACATTTAATTAGGCCGATACAAATGACAACAATGCCATCTATGAAAGCATTTTGAAAACATTGAGCCCCGTATTAGCACTGATTAAATTAATTAAGTACTGGAAAATAACAAAATGAGTAAATATATGAAAATTACTTTTCTAAACGCATTATTTCATTTTAACATGTATATATAACTTTTTAAAAATTGATTAAACATTTTAGTAAACACAGTTTTGTTTTTTAAAACGTTTGCAAAACTATGAAGAATTCCATCGATACCAATCACGCCATCTATATGCAACTTTTAGCAATAATAATGGCTACTTCCTCACGGATTGCCACTGGTAGTAGTAAAGTATTATATTTAATTACAACGATCTCATTTATCGTAAAATCAATATTAAAAGCAGGTATAATAAATGAGTAAAAATATAATAGCATAAGTATATAGTAGTTATTTATTGTTTTTCTAGTCCGTTAATTTATTAAACGTCCTGCAAAGATTGTTATGTTAAACAGTGTCACTTATGGAAAAATTAATAGATATACCTATAAGTACATATAAAGATAATATTATAATAGAACTCAAAGGTTGAGCGATAACTGTCAGTAGCATTTAGTTGAAGTTCGTACCACCTTGACTGTGTTTTATCTGTAAGTTCAAATATCTATCTAGCGAAACCAAAACTATCCGGCAGGCAATATGTTTAAAAGTATGCAACAATAAACTTTATTTCAATATCAAACAATTATATATGTAATATAATTGTTATATGTATATAGTATAAGTCGTATAGGCGATAAAGGTTATTGAATTCGATGTACAGTAGAATCGTTTATAATGACTCCGGCTATTATGACTTCGCTTATTAGGACCCATTTTTAATAAATTGCGTCCATTTATAGTAACCGAAATGATTGCTAACACCATCGGAAGTGTTCGGTAAAGTCACGTGATACCCAACGATGTTGGCGCGTGCTTGGCGTTTTTGAGTTTAAGGTTGCAGAATTGTTATCAGGATTCGATTATAGCGATATTTAATTGATAATTTGACGATGACGATGAATTCTTTAGTATTAAAGACTGTTATTACAATATGAGGAAAAAGATAAGCCAACAAGCATTACTGATTTCTTATGTAAATAATAAAAAGATATACATACATATGTACATATTACGTACAACTTCTATTTTGTATCTCTCTATTAAAATAAATTCATCATCATCATTGCTTTGCGTTTATCCCATTATTAGGGGTAATAAATACATACTAACAAAAACAGATTGTTTATTTTTACAAAAAATTTGTATGACGTCCGCTTAGTATAACATGTTTGTTATTTCCCTGTAATGTCATTATAAACTGATTCCACCGAACAACAAAAACTTTGTGTCAATTTGAAATTTCTAAGTGAATAGTATAATTTATCTCTTCATTATAATAATAGTCGTTATACTTGATTATAATAATATATGGAAGGCTCAGCCTCTTCAGCATCGGACTGAAATATTAACACTTAATGTGAAATTCGAAACTCACCTCAAATGTTGTGTTAATGTGAGGAAATTTACATGTGTAAGCATAACTCCTTTGGGTAATCCAGTAGTTCCAGAGGAGCACATAACAGCCACAGCATCATCCCTGCCATTAACATCCACTAGTGTGTATTCATCTACGTTTACTGCCTCCTTGACCAGATCATTATACATGAGAGATGGCACCACCTCATCGTCACCAAACAATATAAGCCTAACATCATAAGGCACCTCTTTACAACTTTCTACCATATTATAAGCCGTAATTGGTGACACAAATATGAATTTTGGTTTTGTTATATGCAGTAAATGTATTAATTCGCCTGTAAAAAATATTGGAAATTACTTCTTAAACACAGAGGTACCCTCCCTTTCTCATCAGCTCAACCAACAACCAAGGTATACCATTAGGCATGATCTTGATAATATACAAAATATTTTTTATGAGTATTAATATTTAAAAAGCAGTAATAAATATATGTTAATTGACATAGATTTTAGTGCTGTTACAAGTATAAAAAATTATATTAGGCTGTTGTTATTTTTTCATTAGAAATTCAATAAATTAATTTGTCATAAATCTTCACTGCATATATAGCAGCTATCATATAAACATAAATAACTGTGTTAACACACATTCTTGTGTACACTGTACAGCAATTAAATTTATTATCTTGATAATAATATCAACTTAAAAGAAATATATTGATCCCATAATTTCAATAACTGATTATAGGTAGTGTACAACATTATTTTATTTTAGAAACTTTATGGAATGTTTAATGTTAATATTTATTGTTTAATGTTGTTGTTATTTAATGTTCATATATATTATTTATTTGTTATTTAACTAGGACAGGAGTAAATCCAGATTCAAATGGTTAAGATTGAACAAATACACCACAAACATGTACAATGTACCTAAACATATCTACCATTTGAGGACCTAGTATGAAGATATAGGTAAAATATTTACACAAATTGTAAAAAGCTTACACTATGTATCTAAAATATTACTATAATAACAAATAATAGTAAATATAAGTAATATGCTGAAAACACACCTGTAGAATATGTAATGTTCCATGTTGACAGTAAACCACCATTGAATATCACACCAAATGCAGCAGGGACAAATTCAAATCGGTTTTCACAACTAATACTGACCAGATCCCCTTTTTTCAATCCCAATTTCTGTAATGCAATAGCTGCCCTTACACTATACTGTAGCAGTTCCCTGTATGTAATGGATTCTGCAGTTTCTGCCGATATCTGTAAAAATAGAATGTTTTATATGTCACAAAGTTAGACAAAAATAAAGTACAGAACTTGCATCAACACACTGTAAATAATATAATAAACCAGTTTATAAGAAAACTACATCATAAAATTGTTGATATAGAGGGATGTAATAAATTATGGCGAAACGATATGTGTGCTAGTGTAATATTGAAACAATGTGTTTTATTATACTGATATAATATTCGTAATTTCCATTCGCCGTTTGAATTGGATGGGGGATCGATCCGAAGAGAGACTCAATGAAATTCTAGGGCAAAAATAATAATTATTAATATATTATATAACAATTATAAACAGATAATAATTACATTAATATACTCACCAGTGCAATTTTATCTCCTCCCTTTTTTAATTGATCATACATGTATTGTCCATATGATAAGTGGGCTGGAATGAGCTGCTCCTCTGGTCCCGACACTATATCATTAACTATAGTAGTCAATATCATTTTTACTGATATAGATTTAATATTTTATGTATAACTAATTAAATTTCTAAAAATGGTTAAGAAAGTATTTGAAATTTATTCGAATATAAACTATAATAAAAGAAGTGCGGTGCAGTACAGAACAATTATAATCCCAGCGAACTGAGTGCAAGACTGTCACACTAAATTACTCACAAAACTGCTCACACTAATATCTAGTATCTAGATTTAAGTCCATCAGTGCTAAACTAATCCTTATATGTAATTAAATATCAACAAACCAGTACCCAGTACAGCTGACCGTAATTAATAGTTTTTTTTAGCGAGTGACAGTAGCAGTGTTGTCAGGTAACTGACTACTTTTCCTTACAAATTTTGCCCAAAGTCCCCTCATATTTCAGGGTTTTGATAAAAAAACTAAAAAATTCAGTTGTCAAATGTAAATATTTTGTTGATTTGATTTGTTTATAGTAACTCTGGTATCATTTTATTATAATGCGTGTTCTGCAAAAGTTTTTATTTTTTATACTTTGACAACCCTAGACTTGTGTTCTCTATGTTCTGTTTTTAATTCCTAACATTGACATGCCAATAATCTCACGCAAAATCCCACTTACCATTCCTTCCGCTCCCACAAATTCACACCAATATTTGTGCCCTTTTCTTTCTACATATCGCTACAAAATGCACCTGAATCTGGCATCACTAGACGGTAGTTTTGTGTAATTCAGGTATGATATTCCTATGAAGATTCTCGTACAAGTTCAAGAATTTTTATTTTCAATACTACACTACTAACACATACATATACTATTGTGATGACAGGAGGGGTGGTGAGAGTAAACACACACAGTAGGGTGTAACTTGTATATTAACTGTTACATCTTGAATTACTCTACCTTAGACTAATTACATAAACTATATATATGAGCTACTGCACGCAGTAGCTCATATTACTATTATTACATAATAAAGTAGGTCGTGACCTACGTGTCGTTAGTTAAAACGTACACTGACACAATCTTCTATTGAACGTGCTGATTTGCATCACTATATCACACCTCCCCTGAAAAGTAGGGTGTCTATGGTGAGGGTGTCCCCTCCCTCTGAAAGTTTAACATTACAAGGACAATTTTATTATTTAAACATTTACATGATCAAGTTTGAAAAGGCGGGAAACGTTAAACTTGACGGGCGCGTTTTTCTTTTGATTTAAATTTTATACTTATTTTTCATTATTTAGTGATTGTGATACTGTATTTAGTTCTTTTATATCTATTATTTAGTTTGTTTATTGTAGTTTGTACAAATAGTTAGCTGTTTTATTGGTAAGTTTTTCGTTTTTTCATTTCTATGGACGATCCCCCCGACCCGGGGGGATTCGTCCCTCCGGCTTCTAACTATGTTACAATTTCATGCGAATCGGGTATGGAAACCGATACGTCTTGTTCAAACCGATCGATAAAACGCAGTCGGTTACAAAGATTTTGTAAAAGTTGTAATAAACGGAGAAGAAAAAATTCTTCAGATAAAATTACAGATTGCCACTGTACAGATGACATAAATGATGGCATTGAAATACAAAAACCTCTCACGGAAGTGATTTCCACTCCACAATCTGTAAATTTAGATCCCCCTCATCCATCCACATCTAAAGAAACAAATGAAATTAATAATATTTCTGAACTAGTAGCAAGGAAAATGTATGAACCCACAGACCATGCCCCATACTTAGTTCATGTAGTAAGACAAGAAAAGTCTCCAAATGACGGTACTACACTTCACCCTGTGACATTTGGTAAATTCCTCAAAAAAAAGTATTTTAAAAACATTATTAATGGAAGTGTAAAACGCATTGGACGAAATAAAATTGCATTATCTTTCTCAGTTTACCATGATGCTAATACATTCATTAATCATAACAGTTTAAATGATTACAAATTACAGGCTTTTATACCAACATTTAATATTACACGTATGGGTCTGGTACGAGGTGTTCCGAGTGATTGGAGTCCAGATGAAATATTACAAAATATTTCTGTTCCTATCGATTGTGGCAATATACTTAAAGTAAGACGGCTAAATTACAAAGTTGTCGTTGATGGCTCTCCCACTTGGAAACCTTCTCAGACAGTAGTAGTCACATTTGATGGTCAGGTACTACCAAAAAGAATATTCATGTGTTATAATGCATTACCAGTGGAATTATACACTTATCCAACTATACAATGTTTTAATTGCTGTCGTTATGGTCACACTAAAATTCAATGCAGGTCAAAGCCACGTTGTTTTAAATGTGGTCAAAATCATACAGGAGAAACATGTGATGTTGAAGATGCTTTTTGCTGTTTATGTTCAGGAAATCATTTTTCTACTAGCAAATCTTGTCCAGAATTCAATAGACAAAAACAAATAAAGTTATATATGGCTGAAAATTGTATCTCATATGCTGAGGCCTCAAAATTGCACCCTGCTGTTACAAAGCCTTTTGCTAAAGTCCTTTCCACGCTATCAGCACATGGAACAACATTCAGCACTTTAAAAAATATATCTGAATCAAAAACTTATAATGATACTGCTTTTAAACAATCTTATAAAAAAACCGTATTCTTAAAACCTAAATCTCCTCATCCATCCTATGTTGGGTATGATAAAGTAGCCCATGCGAATATTATAAAAGATTTTAATTTGCCCTCCCCTTCTAATGGCTGTGCGCTTAACAGTCAGTATAAAAATGAAAGTGAATCTAATATTACAGAAGTTATTATTTCATTAATCAACTTACTTGTAAGTTCTAATATAATACCGTCCCACGTTGCCCCATTTATAGAAATATTCAAAAATTTACTCCATAATGAATCAAGTAGTCCAATAGAATTGCAGAAGTGTACTTAGCAAAAAAAGTGATTTAATTCATTTAATCAATAAATATCAACAACCACTTATTATTGCACTAACTGAAACTTGGCTTAAACCTGATTTTAATTTTAAATTATCAGAATACTCTTGTATTCGTGATGATAAGCCAGATGGGTATGGTGGGGCTGCTTTACTCATCAATAAAGGTACTCATTTTTCTTCTATTTCTTTATCTCTTTTTGACAAAAACAATATTTCTATGGTTGCTGCTGTTGTCAGCGATATTTGTTTAGTCTCCCTTTATATACCTCGTCCTTCCTCTTCAATTATTACATATTTAAATGAGTTATTTTCAATTCTTTCTAAACCTTTTTTAATTATGGGTGATTTCAATTGCCATCATCAAGCTTGGGGCAGCTCCTATTCTAATTACCATGGTGAGCCTAGCAATTGCTCACCACGGCCTTCTTGATTCCCATAATTTGTGTGTTTTAAATAGCCCAGTACCTACTCGTATTACTGCTCCCACTGAAAGAAATAGTGCTGTAGATCTCTCTATTTGTTCTTCCAATTTATCTTCCTCTCTATCATGGTCTATCCTTTCATCTGCATATGGGAGTGACCATTTTCCTATTATCATTTCATTACCAATTCATAAAAAACATCCTCGAAAAAGAAATTCTTTTTACAAACATAAGTTAAATAATAATAATAATTGGGATAAATTCCAAATTGGTGTACAAAATAAATTATCATCTCTCCCTCCTATTACTTCTGGTAATGGATCGGACTGTTCTGAAGCCCTCAGCAAAATTTTGATACAAGTCGCTGATGAAGTTCTTCCTGTAAACAAACATAATAATAGTAAAATTCCTTCTCCACCTTGGTGGGACCATGAATGTACTACAGCTATTAAATCCAGGAAACAGGCAGAAAGATTATATTGTAATGATATGACTTCAGAAAACTTCACCAATCTATCTGCCTTACTAGCCTCCACCCGGAAACTTTTAAAGAAAAAGAAGTCAGAAGGATGGAAACGTTTCTGTTCTTCTATTTCGCCTCATACTCATCCTTCCCTTGTATGGCGTAATATAAGAAGATACAGATCTGCTTTCCAAGACTCTTCTTTTTTTACATTATCAGAGACTACAGCCAACGAGTTTCTAGATCGTTTAGCACCACCCTACGTATCTCATATGGATCCCATAACGCGGCCACTTTCCACCAATAAAAATATAAACTCTTCAGCTCTTGACAGTCCTTTTACATTTACGGAACTTAAAACCGTTCTGTCTCATACGAAAGATTCATCTCCAGGAAATGACCACATTCCATATACATTTTTAGCGAATATTAGTGATGAATGTACGTTGTATTACCTTAATCTCATAAATTCAGTAATGTTAACTGGGAATATTCCGTCTTCATGGAAACATCACACGGTATTGCCAGTTAAAAAACCCAACAAACCTTCCGACGACAGTAGTTCATATCGTCCTATAGCTCTTTCCACAGTTCTTTTAAAAATTGCTGAAAATTTAGTAAAAACTCGTTTAGAGTGGTATGTCGAAAGTAAAAAACTATTAGCTGAAAGTCAGTATGGGTTTAGAAGGGGTAAAAGTACATTAGATGGAATCAGTCTGTTCGTTTCAGATATACGTTTGGCATTCTCTAAAAATCAGTCGGTAGTTTCAGTTTTCTTAGATATTAACTCTGCGTATGACAATGTCAATATTATGGAAAAAGCTTTGCGATTTGAATGTTCCTCCCATACTTTCTAACTTTATTATTAATATTTTGACGGAAAGATCCATTAGCGTTATATTGTCTGATTCTAATATTTTGTCTCGAGTTGTATGGAAGGGTCTCCAGGGATCTCAGTCCTCTTTTATATAACATCTATACATACGACTTAGAGTCATATGTAAAACAAAACAGTGAGAAAGTCGTTGTACTTCAATATGCGGATGATTTATTAATGTATTTTATTGATCATTCTGTTCAAAAAGCGTGTTCTTTAATTTCCACTTCTTTAGAAAAATTAAAATTTTGGATGGATTGTAACGGTCTTGAACTGTCTGCGGCTAAGAGTGCAGTTGTTCTATTTTCTAGAATGCGAGTTCCACCCCTTATAAATATCTGTTACAATAATCAGTGTATCCCAGTAAAGACAAAAATAAAATTTTTAGGCATAATTCTCGATTCTAAATTATCTGGTTTACCACATTGTGAATACGTTTCAGCTAAATGTGAACGACTTCTTAATATTCTAAGATGCCTTACGGGTGTGTGGTGGGGATCCCATCCATTTCAATTAAAACTAATATATAATGCTCTCATAAGGAGTGTTATGGATTACGGTACATTTATTTTGGAACCTACTAATGCTACAGCCCTAAAAAAATTGGATAATATTCAAGCTAAAGCTCTAAGGATTATATTGGGCGCCATG